TCATTCTTTAATATGTGGCTGTCCAATTTTCCCAACACCATTTAATTGGAGAGACTGTCCTTTCCCCCATTGTATATTCTTGGCTCCTTTGTTGTAAGTTAAATGGCCATATGTGCATAGGTTTATTTTTAGACTCTATTCTGTTCCATTAATCTGTGGGTCTGTTTTTATGCCAATACCATAGTGTTTTGATTACTATAGCTTTGTAATATAGTTTGAAATCAGGAAGTGTGATTCCTCCAGCTTTGGTTTTCTTTCTCAAGATTGCTTTGACTTGGGCTGTTCAGGGTCTTTTGTGGTTCCATGCAAATTTTAGGATTGTTTTATTTCTGTGGTAAATGCCATTGGGATTTTGATAGGGATTGCATTGAATCTATAGATTGCTTTGGGTAGTAGGGACACTTTAGCAAGATTGATCCTCCAGTTCATGAACACAGAATATCTTTCCATTTATTTGTGTCATCTTCAATTTCTTTCATCAATTTCTTATAGTTTTCAGTGTACAGGTCTTTCACCTCCTTGATTAAATTTTTTTTTTATTTTTTTTATTTTTTTTATTTTTCCCCCCAAAGCCCCAGTGGATAGTTGTGTGTCGTAGCTGCACATCCTTCTAGTTGCTGTATGTGGGACTCGGCCTCAGGATGAACGGAGAAGTGGTGCCTCGATGCGCACCCGGGATCCGAACCCGGGCCACCAGCATCGCAGCGCGTGCACTTAACCACCAAGCCACAGGGCCGGCCCAATCCTTGATTAAATTTATTCCTAGGTATTTTATTCTTTTTGATATAATCATAAATGGTATTGTTTTCTTAATTTGCCTTTCTGATAGTTCATTATTGGTGTATACAAACGCAGCTGATTTTTATAGGTTGATTTTGTATCCTGCAGCTTTACTGAACTGATTTATTAGTTCTAATAGTTTTTTGGTGGAGTCTTTTGGGTTTCTGTGTGTAATAGCATGTCATCTGCAAGTAGTGACGAGTTTACTTTTTCCTTTCCAATTTGGATGCCTTTTGTTTTTCTTGCCTAATTACTCTGGCTAGGACTTTCAATACTGTGTTGAATAAGAGTGACAAAAGTGGGCATCCTTGTCTTGTTTGTGTTCTTAGAGGGATAGCTTTCAGTTTTTCACTATTGAGTATGAGGTTAGCTGTGGGTTTGTCATCTATGGCCTTTATTATGTTGAGGTACTTTCCTACTATATTTGGGTTTTCTTTTTTTACTATATTCGTTTTATTCAGTTTTTAATCATAAATGGATGCTGAATTTTGTCGAATGCTTTTTCTGCATTTATTGAGATAACCATGTGATCTGTATTCTTCATTTTGCTAATGTGGGGTATCACATTGGTTGGTGTGTGGATGTTTAATCATCCTTGTAGGTGCCAGCCCAGTGGCGCAAGTGGGTGTGTGTGCTCCGCTTTGGTGGCCTGGGGTTCTCAGGTTTGGATCTTGGGCGCACACCAACACAGTGCACGTCAAGCCATACTGTGGTGGTGTCCCATATAAAGTAGAGGAAGATGGGCACGGATGTTAGCTCAGGGCCAATCTTCTTCAGCAAAAAAAAAAAAAAAAAGGATCGGCATCAGATGTTAGCTCAGGGCTGATCTTCCTCACACAGAAAAAATCATCCTTGGATCCCTGGAATCCCACTTGGTGTATCATCTTTTTTTTTTTTTTTTTTTTTAATGAGGAAGATTAGCCGTGAGCTAACATCTGTCACCAATGCTCCTCTTTTTGCTGAGGAAGAGTGGCCCTGGGCTAAGATACATGCCCATCTTCCTCCACTTTATATAGGATGCCGCCACAGCATAGCTTGACAAGCGGTGCATCAGTGCGCACCCAGGATTTGAACCCCAGACCGCCGCAGCGGAGAGTGCACACTTAACCGCTATGCCACTGGGCCGGTCCTGGTGTGTGATCTTTTAATGTATTGTTGTATTTGATCTGCTAATATTTCGTTGAGGATTTTTTTGTCTATGTTCATCAGCAATACTGACCTGTAATTTTATTTTTTTGTGTTGTCCTTGTCTGGTTTTGGTATCAGGGAAAAGTTGTCCTCATAAAATGAGTTAGGAAGTGTCCCCTCCTGCAACTTTTAGAAGAGTTTGGGAAGGATAGGTATTAAATCTTAGAATGTTTGGTCGACTATGCCAGGGAAGCCACCTGATCCTGGACTTTTGTTTTTTTGGGAAATTTTTGATTGCTGTTTTGATCTCCTTACTAGTGATCAGCCTATTCAGATTCTTGCTTTCTTCTTGATTCAGTTTTGGAAGGTTGTATGATTCTAAGAATGCATCCATTTTTTTCTAGGTTATCCAGTTTGTTGGCATATGGCTTTTTATAGTATTCTCTTGTAATCCTTTGTATTTCTGTGGTATCTGTTGTAATTTCTCCTCTTTCATTTCTGATTTTATTTATTTGAGCCTTCTTTTTTTCTTAGTGAATCTAGCTGAAGATTTTGTTTATTTTTTCAAAGAACCAGCTCTTCATTTCATTGATCTTTTCTATTGTCTTTTTAGTCTATTTCATTTATTTCCATTCTGATTTTTATTTCCTCCTTTCTACTGATTTGGGGCTTCGTTTGTTCTTCTTTTTCTAGTTCCTTTAGGTTTAATGTTAGACTGTTTATTTGAGATTATTCTTATTCTTGAGGTAGGCCTGTATTGCTATGAACTGCCCTCTTAATACTACTTTTGCTGTATCCTCTAGATTTTGGTATGTTGTATTTTCATTTGTCTCCAGGTATTTGTTGATTTCTCTTCCGATTTCTTCGTTGACCAAAAAAGCAGTACATTTTGAACGTTTCATTTACTTTGTGTATTCTTGTTCTCCATCAGGAAATAAAGAAAAAACAGTTTTGACTAGGGAACCTTTAATTTGTTTTAGGCAGCATTTCAAAGTGCTCCAAATTCCTAGGACATTACTCCTACCCCTACCATGTTCAAATATGAGTACCAGAAAAGCACATTCAAGGTAAATTAGATGACTTTGGGATAACCCCTTTCTTTCTCCATATCTCATATAGATAAGAGTTGACGACCAACTTTTTATGAGTGTTATGTGTTGTTTATGTCATAAAGGTTTACCTCATCAACCATATTTGAATTTAAAATATTCTGTTATTATGTAACAGAGTTTGCTTTATGAATGTGTTTAAGTGGGAATGGAATCAAGTGTGTGAGCAGATTCACCATCAAACATGCCTTCAAGATTTTAACTGTTTTTTTCTCCATATGATATCTTAAAGGGAGGTAATTTTTTACCTTACTTTTACCTATTGGTTTAATTTCTTATATTGCTACCAGCTCCAAATCAGTGGAAATATGTTAGTCTAAATAAAAAAGAGAGGGAGAAAAGGGAACCTGTATAGAGAACTTAATCAGTAATTTATTTTATGGATAAATTTTATGGAACTCTTAAATTGTGTATTACAGTCATCTCCACATAATGACGTTTCAATCAACAACAGACCACATATACAATGGTGATCCCATAGGATTAGTACCTTACAGCCTAGGTGTGTAGTAAGCTATACTGTGTAGGTTTGTGTAAGTGCACTCTGATGTTCACACAATGACGAAATCACCTAATGGGATTCCTAATGATGCGTTTTTCAGAATGTATCCTTGTCATTAAACAACACATGACTGTCCTTGCATTTATCTGGCACTACTATCCCTGGTAGTATCAGTTTCATTTGATGACTCTTTGGCTGAAACCCTGTTACCAGAGTTTCCAGAGAGCTGTGCTTAGACCATATAACTATTTGGCTTTGTAGTTTTAGTGAATGGCTGGCTTTCGATTCTGAGGAAGTAACATCCCATGAAATCAGGAAAATTTAGCTGGGGAGGGCCAAAAGAGAGAGGGTAAATTTGAGGGTGGGTATCTGAGCTACTGTGGAACATCTGTGTCTTGTTCTGGCCTCCTGGGGAGAGGGTGTGTATGGATGGAAATGAGTAATGAGACTATCTTCGGTTAAGCTAAGTATGCTGAGACCTGCATGTCACAGAGGTGTCACGCAGATGATTTTCACTGGATATTTTTAGCAAACCTTTGGTAAAAGTTTCAAATAGGCAGGTTCTTCCTGTCCCTTCTTCCTTGCCCCATCTCCAGGATTCAGTGCTTTCTTGTGTTCTCCGTATAGTCTCTTAGACTGGCCTCTCTCAAACGTTTTTGTGCTAAACCTCTTTCCCCTTCAAGTTTAATTCACTGAGGTTGTCTCAGGTTATGGACTCTAAGTTATAAAAGAGGGTCCTTAAGCCCCCTCAGAAAGAGTCCTAGAGTTTTTTAGTCCCCAAGTAACTGGGGATACATTTTATCTGGTGCTTTTTTAAAGTATTTTCCACACACTCCAACCTTTTCTTGTCTGATCCATGGACTCATCAGTATCAGTGTTGACCAGCCTACAGCTGCACATCTACATCTGTACATACCACACAGCTCTTCCTCTTTTTTTTTTTTTTTGTGAGGAAGATCAGCCCTGAGCTAACATCCGTGCTAATCCTCCTCTTTTTGCTGAGGAAGACCGGCTCTGAGCTAACATCTATTTCCAATCCTCCTCCTTTTTTTCCCCAAAGCCCTAGCAGATAGTTGTGTGTCATAGTTGCACATCCTTCTAGTTGCTGTATGTGGGACGCGGCCTCAGCGTGGCCGGACAAGTGGTGCGTCGGTGCGTGCTCGGGATCTGAACCCGGGCCGCCAGTATTGGAGCGCCACACTTAACTGCTAAGCCACGGGGCCGGCCCACAGCTCTTCCTCTTTGCTCAGGTTAAAAACTGAGGGAGGAGCAGAGGAGAAACTAAGATGATGGCAACACACCGAATATTCACACAGATGTGTGATTCAAGGGAGAAGAGGCTCTGCTACACTACTTTATTACCTCTGATCTCCAAGAAGCCTTTGTGTATTTAGTTTTGGATTCAATGGTTATAGGCCTAGAAGATAGAAACTATGCTTGATTTGATTTATAATACCCTGTCTGTCTCTGTATTTTAACAGGGCAGCCCTGTACTATATCAAAATGTTAATTCTTTAAGAGAACGAATATCTGCTTTCCAGTCGGCTTTTCACTCCATAAAGGAAAACGAGAAAATGACTGACTGTCCTGAATTCTCAGAGGCAGAAGGAGAGTTCAAGACAACAGGCTTGAGTGAGTAGGAAGATTTCAGTCCATTTGGACTTCTGTGTTTATTCAGACAAGCCACTGAGATATAAAAAAGATTTAGTTCCACAGTGTGAAAGTAGTCTTTTCTGAGCAGAGCTGTATTTTTAAATGGAGCCTAACATTTAAAATTTGGGACATTTCACACAAAAATCTGGATTTCTGGTTTCTCTGGAAAAACTCTGATATCAAACATTCCTGAGCCTACGTTTCCACATGGCCACAATTAAGTTTTAAGGGTTAAAATGTCAGGGCTGGTTAGTTCATTTCATCTTTAGAATAGGGCATGTGGCAAATTTGAGTGTACAAACCTTGATTTTTAGAGGGGGATTATTAAGTTTCGCAAGCATTTATATGAATACCAAACACCCAGCTCTGATATTATAAACAGATATATCTAATCTGACATCTTAATAGCCTGCCATATTCTTTGCAATAACTTTTAGATTGTAAATCATTTGGTTATTTTTTTTGTCACTTCTGATTTTTCAATCACAAAGCATTTCCAACACCAGAATTAGACAAAATCTTGTCCTTACTGTAATCATCATAACCATTCCTCTCGTGGTCTGCGCCCTAAGGTTCCAGATGATTTTGTTTTGGTTTCTTGAACCATCTTCAAGTCCATTTCAGCACCTCCTCGTGTGCAGTGCACTGTTGCTCAAGACAAGTCCAGTTCATCGACCTCCACAGGTCATGACCCATGCCAGTGTACTCATTTGTATTTGTAGTTTGTAACTTAATACTACTTTCCGATTTTTTACCTGAGTTTTAACATATTTTATTTACATGATTACTATCATTCTGCAGATGATTAAATTCCCTTTTTGTAGCCAGGAAGAACTGAGGCACATGTGCCTGTATTTTTCATAAAATACACAGTCAGAGCAGAATTAGTATTAGAACATAATTCACATCCTTTAAATGTTCAAAAGAAAAGATTTCATTGTAAGTTTAAAAATAGGATGAGATGCTATATCAGAAATGCAAATGTATTTTAGCATATCTTTGTACATTTTAAAGTCTAGAAAAAATTCTAAAAATTAAATTTTTATCGTCTTTTTAGTAGTTATGTTCTCTTGCCTTTTAGTTAGATTTCCTTTTCTGAATTAAAGAAAGTACTGGATTTTTCTTTTTATTGATAAAGTATTTAGACTCAATCATTAAATTTTACTAAAATTATTATGATGTATACATTTTAAAATGATATTATAAAAAAAATATTTATGCCTATGTTATTTTTGTTTTGCATATATAGCCAAAAAGGAAAATGTTGGTGAATGTCAGCTCTCTGAGTTCCTTGCAAAGTCATCGTCCAAACGTCAGAGAATATCCTCTCAGAGCACCTCTGATGAAAATCTAACTGGTACAGTTGGTCTCCAGATAGTCAGTATTGCTACTTCTTCCGATGCAGGCAGAATGTGCGCTGTTGAAACTTCTCTTGCAGATCTCTCTGAGGTAATCCACTTACTGGAAACATAGGAAAGTGAAGCTTTGGTTTTCTGGCTAGGCAGTTAGTTGTAAGACTGTCAAGACTGTATGCAGTTAGAGTACTTTGTACTGCTGTATTGTAGCTGAGTTTTAAATTGCATGTGTGTGTGTGTGTGTGTGTGTATTTCCTACTAAATGTTTTTGTTGGTTGGCTTATTGGTTATTAGAGACAGTTTGATTAATATGTTGCTTTTAATTATGAAAAAGACTGTGAAAAAATTAAGCCTTGTGGTCTTCTGCTTTCGAGGTATTGTTCTGGATGCTGATGGTACAACAATGGGAAAGTCACAGTCCTGCATGAACAGCTCTTTGTCTGTTGGGGGAGGCAGGCATATGAGCATATCATTTACACGTAACTGGTAAATTAGGTGAAGTTAAGATATGGGCTGTATCCCTCAGGTCTGAGGGTCTTGCACTTCTGCCTTGCTGCCCTTCACTGGTTTAATACTGACTGGGAAGCAGGATGCTATTTATCAATTTTTTCTTTGCTCTGCTCACTTCTTTCAAGTAGCTGTAGGGATTTTTGTTGCTTATAACTACCTTAAAGCCCATCAAGATTTATCAAAAGACAATAACTAACGTGAATGAAATAATACAGTTGAAGATCCTTGACCTTCACTCAAATGTAGACAGGGAGCTGGTTCTCTCGTGACTGACTTGCTTGCTTCGTGCTGTTGGTTCTGGTTTAATGCAGCAGGTTCCCATTTCTTTCATGAGAGGAGACACTAGAGTTGAAAGCCATTAGAGTTGAGACTTTTTTCTCTGTACTTTCTCTGTCACACAGATCCAGTACATGTCCTGTTGATCTTATTTGGACCAGCATAATAAATGTCTGATAGTCATTAAAGATTCTTCGGAGTCCAGTAGATTTCATTTGTATCTGAGTTGCAAATAAGTCATCATCTCTGCTCCCTCTGCTTTATTCTAGTTAATGTGAAATCGTCATCTGACAGAGCCAATGATAATTGTTTCTTATCAGAACTTTGATTAACTGTATGGACATACACCATGATTTAGAAATGGTTTCCACATTAATGAGTGTATTTTCTATCCTAGCCATTAATGGTTCTCCTGTCTTAGTTATTGTTTTCTTTTCTTGTTTGATTAGTAATTATATAACAGTTTTCGTTATTTTGAGAGTTTCTTCTTTAAAGGAAGCAGTTAACACAGTTTTCTAGACTTCAAACATTAAGGCAACAAAGAAGTGTCCTGTAAACTTTTCCTAGGGAACTGAAAATTGTTCAGTAGAACGCTTAGGATGCAGTTACAATGAATACTCTGTTTTTAGTTAGATTCCTCTATACTTTTGTAACAATTAACTAGATAATGAAGGTGATTGATTGATTGGTTTAACAGCAGATTTCCAAATAATGTGTAATGCTTATTCAAATCTTTATAAAGATACCAACAATCCTGTAAGTAATAAGATTTAATATTTATTTACTCTAAATTTTTTTCCCCAAGAAATCTTCTGAATCTGGTTTAACACAGTCTGGATGGTTAGTTGAAGAGTCTGTTCCACTTCCAGAACTCACGGAGGATTCAGGTGGTAAGTATGTAATTCTTCCTTAGTGCATGTGCCAGTTCACCTGTTGGAACATTTGTTCAGTAGACATCTGGGGTTGGTGTACCTGTATACTAAGATTAGGGAAAACGGAAATAGTTCCCTGCATTTTAAGAGCTCATGGTCTAGTAGAAATGTTTCAGAATTCTTATGATGTCAGAGATGACATTTTCTTCTTTGAACTGCTACCAATAAGAATTAGTGAACTATTTCCAAGCTGAGAGAATCTGTTATAAAGAATGGGATCTTTGAACAAATTAACAAAGGTATTTTGTTCAAGAAAACACTACACGTCATTTTTTTGATTTTTAAGTGTATAAAAAGGGACCAGCATTCAAAACTTACTTAGCCTTTCCCAAAATCAGTATACTTGTATGGAATGAAAGTCACCACTAAGATGTTAGGTTTACTTTCAACCTACCTGTGTCTTTATTTTTGTGTGTGTGTGTGTGTGTGTGTGAGGATCAGCCCTGAGCTAACATCCATGCCAATCCTCCTCTTTTTGCTGAGGAAGACTGGCCCTGGGCTAACATCTTTGCCTATCTTCCTCCACTTTATATGGGATGCTGCCACAGCACGGGCTGACAAGCGGTGCCTCGGTGCGCGCCCAGGATCCGAATCCGGGCCGCCGGCAGCGGAGCACGCACACTTAACCGCTACACCATGGGGCCGGCCCCGTACCTGTGTCTTTAAAATAAGATTCTTGGGCCGGCCCCGTGGCTTGGTGGTTAAGTGCGCGCGCTCCGCTGCTGGCGACCCAGGTTCGGATCCCGGGCTCGCACCGACGCGCTGCTTCTCCGGCCATGCTGAGGCCGCGTCCCACATGCAGCAACTAGAAGGATGTGCAGCTACGACACACAACTATCTACTGGGGCTTTGGGGAAAAATAAATAAATAAAATCTTTAAAATAAGATTCTTGTAGACATGTAGTTGGGTCTTGCCTGTTTATCCATTCAGGGAATCTTTGTCTTTTAATTGGAGTATTTGGCTCATTTACTTTTCAAATCATTATTGATATGATTTTATTTAAATCTACCATTTTATCATACGTTTTCTGTTTGTTCTCTCTGGTTTTTTTGTTCGTTTCCTTCTTTGTGTCTTTTTTGGGTTTGTGTTTTTTTGAAATACATTTACCCATTACCTTTTTTTGTGTGTGTGTGTGAGGAAGATCAGCCCTGAGCTAACATCCACGCCAATCCTCCTCTTTTTGCTGAGGAAGACTGGCTCTGGGCTAACACCTGTGCCCATCTTCCTCCACTTTATATGGGACGCCGCCACAGCATGACCTGGCAAGCGGTGCATTGGTGTGCGCCAGGGATCTGATCCTGGGCCGCCAGCAGTGGAGCGTGTGCACTTAACCTTTACACTTGGGGCCGGCCCCTACTCATTACCTTTTAGACTATCTCTTTGTGTCTTTTTCTTTTAATGGTTACTCTAGGGATTGTGATATACATTCTTAACTTTTCACAGTCTTCTTAGAGTTAATATTGTATAACTTCATGTAAAATAACAGAAAATTTACAAATTGTATGGATCTATTTTCTCTCCACCCACTCATGTCTTTTATGGTCCTTTATACTATAGATGTCATCTATATTATATTTATCTTCATTTTAAACCCTACAAGATATTTTTTTTGCTTTAAACAACCATGTGTATTTGGGGGAAATAGTCTTTTATAATGACCCAGATAGATACCATTTCTGGAGCTCTTCATTCCTTCCTGAAGATCTGAGTTTCCCTCTGGTGTCATTTCCCTTCAACCTGAAAAAGAACTTCCTTTGGCATTTCTTGTAGTGCACGTCTGCTCTGACTTCTTAATTTTAATCATCCGTCATGGATGGATGGATGAGGCTCAGAGCTGGGTTCTGAGTTTGTATCTAGATGAAATAGGCGTTTCTTAACCAATTCTCTTGCTTCACTCGCACAGGACTTTGTCTTAGGAGTGACATATTCTTTAACAGTATGAAGTGTGGTCATTAAAAACTGTCATCATACCAGACATCTCCCTGTAGAATCTGTCTTAAGTGGGAGCATCACAACAAGAGCCAGCGTATCCCATTTTAACCGCTCTCTAGGCCCTAAGCAGAAACATTGTACAAGACAGGGAAAGACAAATCTGCCTTCGGTGACGGGGCCTTGATTAAGGGAGTCTGGTGCTGATTCCAGTGTTTTAAACTGGTTATCTGGTGGCACCTCAGAGGGCATTATATCTCAAACAGGGCACCTTTAGGAAGAGTGAAAAGATCTTACAAAGTGGGATAGAAAATACTTAGGTAAAGGAGAGCTTGGAGAGGAGAGCCCACATGATCCCTTTGTTATCTTCCGTTATCGTCTGTTTTATCCATCTAGCCAGAAACCCAGCTCGATGCATCTCTCTGCCCACTGTATTCCTGCCCCACATATATCTAAATACTTTGCACGTTGACAGCCTAACCAAATTTTCATCTCAGGTGGGCCTCAGCGCTGCTTGGCAGTGCTTTGTGTTCTTCATCAGTTCCCTCCATCACACCTTCTCTTTTCCATCAAGCTTCCAGCCCTCCTTCCCTTGCTTCTTTTTTTTAAGATACTTATAAGTTATTTCTTATAAACAAATAATTCTTTAGTATATGCATGTCTCACGCATTATTTTTCTTTTATGTCGGTGTGCATATGCATAAGCTGGTGCATATGCACCAGCCCTGGTGGTCTGGTGATTAAAATTCGGTGCCCTCACCACCACGGCCCAGGTGCATTTCCCAGTCAGAGAACCACACCACCTGTCTGTGGTTTTCATACTGTGGTGGCTGCATGTTGCTATGATGGTGAAAGCTATGACACCGGGATTTCATATACCAGCAGGGTCACCCACGGGGACAAGTTTCAGCAGAGCTTCCAGACTAGATAGACTAGGAAGAAGGACGTGGTCACCCACTTCCAAAAAAATAGGCCATGAAAACCATATGAATAGTCTGACATACAGCTGGAAGGTGAGAGGATGGTGCAAAAAGACCGAGCAGGGTACCGCTCTGCTGTCCACAGGGTGGCTAGGAGTCGGAATTCATTTGACGGCACTAACAACAATATGCGTAAGTAATTAGATAAAATTCAAATTTAACTGGATCTCCTGCATTTTTATTTGCTAAATCTGGCAGGCCTACTCCTGGGCGACTGAGATCAAGTTCTCTTGGTGCCCCTTTGCAGTCACTGGCTTCTTCAGTAAAGTTAAGAACCTTTCTTCTTATGTCACCAAGAGAACGAAAGCAAATGTTCTGATCCTCCACCACCAACCTCTCCTGCATCTCTGGGCAAGTGTACTCCACCTTTCCTCCTGTTACAGTAGAGTCTCAGTGCTCTGATCCAAGGCCAGCCTTTCAGTGTGGCCCCCTCCCTTTTCAAGAACCTTCTGTCTAGGAGGTCCTTTCTTTTCTGAATTGTTCATTTTTCCCATTAACATACAATGTGCTGTACAATCTCCCATCTTAAACTTGCCCTTGTCCCAGGATTTTCCTCCCGCCAGAACTCTATTTCTTTGCTTTCTTCTGTAGCAAAACTTCCTTTCAGAGCAAGCTGTACTCTGTCTCCTTGCCTCCCACTCTTTCTTGATCCAGCTCCAAACAGGCCTTCGTAAGCAGCAGCCACCTCCCTGCCACCCCAGTAGTCATTCTCAGTATGTTCCTCTCCTTGAGGTCTCAGGAGCATCCCAGACAGAGCCAACTGTGCTCTCCTGTGACAAACAGTTTCTTCACTGTGCATTGGGACACCATTCTCTCGTTTGCCCTGTTTCACAGACCATTTCTTCTTTGTTATTTTCCTTGTTCCTCCTCTTCCATCCTGACCTTTAAACGTTTGACTGCCCGGGTTCAGCACTTGGACCTTTTCCCTCCATACTCTATCCCTAGTGATTGCAGGCATTCTCACATTAAATACCGTCTATATGCTGTTGACTTCAGAATTTAAATATCTGTCCTCGGCCTCTTCCCTGAACTCTCAACGTTAAGTGCCCAACTGCCTTTCTTGATTTCCACATGGATGTCTATTAAACATCTCAGACTTAATCACACTCAAACAGGTCTTGATTAGTTTCCCTTCCCCAGTCTGCTCATCTCCATTTTCTTCATCTCTGTAAACGATATGTACTACCATTCATCTAATTGCTTGTGCCAGAAACCTTGGAGTTATCTTGACACCTGCCTTTTTCAGGTTAAACTTCCATTCCCATTAACAAATGCTGTTGGCCTTATCTTCAAAATATATCCAGTGTCTAACCACTTCTCACCTCCTGACGACTGTCGCTGAGGTTCAGGCTATCATCTTCTCATGCCTGGACTATTTTGTTTATCCTCTTAAGTGATTTCCCTGCTTCCACCCTTGTCCCATCCCTTTCTTAGAGTCTTCTACATGGTGGCCAGCAAGCTTCTCTTAAAATGCAAGTCACGCTAGGTCATTCCCCTTCTTAAAATCTTTCATTGGCTTTTCAGGATACTTAGAACAGAATCCAGTCTTTGTCCTTTCTGCTGGGCCTTACTTGACCTAGTCCTTAGCCTTCTCTCTGAACTTATTTCTTAGCTCTCTTCTCCTTGCCGGCTCTGGGTTCAGTCACACTGGCCTTGCCCTGTCTCTTGTATGCCAAATACATTCCTGTCTCAGGTCTTTGCACTTGGCTTCACGTGTGCAATCTTCTTCGTGTGTGCAGTGAGGCTCGCTTCCTCACTTTATTCAGATGCCTGCTGAGTAAGCTGTCCCTGAACACCCCAAAACAGCAACACCCTCTTCCTACTGTATCATACCCTGTCCCCTTATCTCTACATTTTTTTTTTAATAGCAGTATTACTACTTGTTGTTAGATATACATTTTTTTAACTTTTTGAGATGATGGTAGATACACATACAGTTGTAAGAAATAATACAAAGACCTCCAGTATACCCTTCCCCCAATTTCCCCCAGTGGTAACATCTTGCGTAGCTGTAATCCATTGTTACAACCAGGAAATTGACACTGATAAAAATCCACTGACTTTTTTTCAGGTTTCACCAGTTTTACATGCAGTCATTTGTGTGTGTATTTAGTTCCCTGTAACTTTATCGCCTGTGTAGATTCATATGACCACACTGCAGTTAGGATATAGAACAGTGCCATCACAGGGATCCCTCATACTACCCTTTTACAGCCACCCCTCCCACGTACTATATTTTATGTTGTCTGTTTGTCCTCTGACGGTATGGGGGCTTTGTATGTTTTGTTCATCGTTGTATCTCTAGCCCCTGTAGAAGTGCCTGTCACATCTTAAGTGCCTGATATATATATTTGTTAAATGTTGATCATTTAACAGTACTCTCTTGTGAGAAAGAATTTGGGAGAGGGGAGGAGGGCTGCCTTGTTTTGGAGCACATACAGTGTGTTTATGTTTTGATTTGATAATTTTTCTCGTCAGCATCCCATCTTCTCCCTCCCACCACCCTTGCGTGCTGAAATGCCTCTTACTCCAGTAATAAAATAAGTCATTATTTACTGCCTGGCTCAGGTTAGTTGTATGGTGCAAGTTATAGGTGTCATGAGTAGAGGCAGACTAACAGTTAATAGCTGATTCAGATACCTTCTTAGGTATACCTAAGGATACCTTCTTAGATTTCCATAAGAGGCAAAATGCCTTACTTACCTTGACTCTCAGTAGTTAGATTTGAATTCAAAGCTGTGACCAGTGCCACGTCTCTGTCTTTTTATATTTCCAAATGAAATCCCAGATGTTATTCCCTAAGAAGAATATATTAGAGTTGAATTTTTTAATAGCATGTTATTCCCACTGCAGATACATAATATTTTTGGTGTAGAACAGACTGGTTCAGATGTCTCCCACTTCTCATGTTTACCTGTTTATTTGGAAGGAATCAAGGTTGCTGACTGTGTAGAGGGCAGAGGATCATGCGATGCTGTTTCACTTGACAAATTTACACAAGTGAGCACAGATACAGCTCCTGAAGTCAGGTCACCGGTCATTGCACTGTGCAGAAGGGACAGTCCGTCCTCTGAGACCATCGTTCTGCGTTCTGTGCTGAAGAAACCTTCTCTTAAGCTATGTCTAGAAAGCCTCCAGGTAAGTATAGAGCTACATTTCCTAAAGCAAAGTGAATAAAAATTCATTTTGGTTCAAAGCAATACCTTTGAAATGTTACATGTCATACCGATTTAAAAGGAAATGTGCCACCCTAATTTTTTTCCCTCTTTTTCTCACTTAATAGCACTGTGCAGAGTTTTCTTTTTGTTTTGTTTTTTTTAATTCAGTATGGAATATAGTATGTAGGATTTAATATATGTAGACTGTATTTTATAAAAGTTCTTAGTTATTAATGAGTTGAGTGTTAAGTGTTTCCACCTAAAATATTTGGTCTTAGAGATGCTCTTGTATGGGCAGGCTTCTTTCTCTAAGCTCACTTGGTCTGAGAAGAGGAGGTCATTGGGAACCATCTGGCGTCTGTTGAATACTCCTGTGCACAGTTCAGGCATGTGTCATGTACATGCAGCAGTAGTGCTCCAAGAAAGGTATTAGCCCCATTTTATACAATCGTAGGCTTGAGGTTGTTGAATGAACCCAGATAAATCGGATGTTAAAATCCATGGTGGGCTGTAATCACTGTGAAAGGCTGAGAGGATGGGCTCTGGAGTCAGAGGGCCTGATTTCAAATCCTCACTCTGAGGTTTAAGAGCTGGGCAAATTAGTTAACCTTTTTGCACCTTGGTTTCCTTATCTATGAAAGGAAAATATTAGTAACTACCTTATAGGGTAATTTGAGCAATAAGTGGGATAGTAATGTGAAATTAGCACCAGTGCCTAGCAAATGAAAAGTACAATTTTTTTTTTTCAATCCATAGGCATTTTAACATACAACTATGCCTACATATCTGTTTCTAAAGCCAAAATGAACTAGACTGTTTTCTATCTACATGGATATATGGTCAATTGTTATTTTAAGTGTTTTGACACTTTTTCTGGTTAAAGAGCTGATTTGGATCTCTGTACAGCAATGCTCATTCATGTCTTCTATTTGTTATATCTTCTCCTCAAAGAGACTTAGCATCTTAATGATCCATATAACTCTCATTGATTAACAGTATTGCATAGCAAACACCAAGTCCTGCCACAAAAATCGTATGAAGACTGTTACACCTGATGATCTTTTTACTAAGCTGCCCAAAGTTTGTAGGTGTATACAGTTTGAGTTTGCTAACTTTCATGGTGGTTTTAATTAAAAATAAATCTAAAAGTTAGCATGATTTAACGTGTTATAATTTCATTTATTGCACAAATATTGATATAGGAGATAGTTGATTAAGGAGGTTTTTTAGGGGCAGGACTGTTTCTTGGAGAAGGTGATGCTCTTGGAATCCGTGTGCTGGAGAAAGTGAGTAGCTGTAGAGAGCAAGGGCTGGTCGGGGGTGAGGAGGAGACTGGGCAAGCAGGTGAGGATTGGGAGGGGACGCCCAGCCAGCCCACAGTCCTGGCTCTCCGGCTTCGCTTCAGCGGCCCCAGGCTACGCCTGCCCCGCCCTGTTGTTCAGGGTTCACACTGTCCCTTCCTCACCACTTGCCTACTCTGTGATCTTCTTGTGGAGAAGCTTAGAGGGACAACTCAAGAATGTAGTCATGGAAGCAGGAGATTTGTACACTTATAAAAGGTGTGGTTCCCAGGTTTAAAAGACAAAACAGCCTGGTATACCATTTACCTTGTTCGTTTTTTTCTTGTTTTAGTGTAATTCTTACACCTCATACCGTGTATGTGTGGTCTACCTCATCTGACACCGTCACAGTATAGTACAATTCTAGCCACTCACATTTTCCTTAACTTTGTTTGTCAGATCAAAAATGAGGGAATGAATTTAGCCCATATTACGGATTTCTGTTCTTTGATTTTGGCCTAAAATACTATTTATTGAAGTAATATCTAGGGAATCCAGTTTTTCTTTGTGGCTAATATCATGGTGTTTTCAGCCAGAACAATTATGAAAGTAAAGGTAATCTGCAATAGTATAGTATCTACCCTTGGCAGAAAAATTTAAAAGTTGCCATTCTTAATGACTGTGTGTATGTATTTATATATGTAAAATTATTCCTTGATGTTTACTGTGCTCAGGAGCACTGTGACAACCTTTGTGACGATGGGACACATCCAAGTTTAATCTCAAATCTTACAAACTGTTGTAAAGAACGAAAAGCAGGTAAGAAATTCGTATTTATTTTGAACCTGAGGATATCATTTTCTTGTTAAAAAAAAATCTGATCTGGGACCAGTTCCCTGGCATAGTGGTTAAGTGTGCACGCTCTGCTGCTGGCGGCCCAAGTTCAGATCCCGGGCGCACACCAACACACCGCTTGTCAGGCCATGTTGTGGCGGCGTCCCATATAAAGTGGAGGAAGATGGGCACGGATGTTAGCCCAGGGCCAGTCTTCCTCAGCAAAAACAAAGAGGAGGGTTGGCATGGATGTTAGCTCAGGGCTAGCTTCCTCACAAAAAAAAAAAAAAAAAAATCTGATTTAGTATATGGTATTTTTAATGATCTGCCAATACCTTAATGCTTCTGAAATTACATGGGAATGAAGAACAGTTGGGAGGGATGGAATCTCTTTGGAGAGTCTCAGAATTGGTCTATCCATTTTATCTATTCATTTTTGCTTAATGGTGAAACTTGTAAAGGAAATTGGTATTCTAATTTTGTAAACTTCTAAGATAATGCAAAATTTACTTTAAAATCTGTTACCATATTTTAGTTAGAAATTTGCCTATCTTTTCCATTTTGAATTTTTTCCTCTACAATCTGTGTTTTATGTTATACAAATAATAGCCAAATCTAATCATGTTAAAAGATTCTAGGATATGCCTTTTAGGTAAGAAATATAGCTTAATTTTTAAATATATTTCCATTTGTTATCTATAGAAGGTGAAGAAAATTGTAAAGTATCGGCCTGTCTAAATATGAGGAAGAGGAAGAGAGTTACTTTTGGAGAGGAGCTAAGCCCTGAAGTGTTTGACGAATCTTTGCCAGCAAATACACCATTGCGTAAAGGAGGAACGCCTGTTCGTAAAAAGGATTCAAGTGATGTCAGTACCCTGCTACTGGAGCAGTCACCAGTTCCTGAGCGGTTACCGCAGCCAAATTTTGATGACAAGGGGGAGAATCTTGTAAGTGCGAAAAACGTGGAACAAACTTGTTTATGTCTTCATCAGACCTCACCTGTTTTGCATGAGCAATAATTATGCTTTGAAATCGTGAAAGGGACTAAATGATATGTAATGGTATAAATTAATGGATTTTTCCAGGTATAGTTTATTACCAGTTTTCTCCTATTAAAACAATACTTCCATGACTCCTTGTACATAGCATATTTCATGGACCCTAAATGCTATTGATGGTAAGATGTGCTGTTATTTTATGTAGCATTAATAAAAAATGCTGGCAGTTAAACTGTATTACACCATGAATTGTATAATGTATTTAGATCTCAGAGGTGTTAAAATGTGAAAGGGCAACAGTCTTATAATTGATATACTATAAATATAAGCTGTTTTTCCCCCTAAGATGAATTTCTACAGGTGGAATTAGTGGATTAAAGAATGTGAACATTTTTGAACTTTTTGGTACATATTGATAAAATTATCATCCAGAAAGTGAGTACTAGTTTGGACTCACAGCAATATAAATGGTTTTATACCTTCGTAAGCCCTAGGTAATAGCTTAATAGGAGAAAAAGCTGACTTGAAAATTTTTAGTTGATTAATGAGGTTTGAACATTTTTCACATGTTTATAGGCCATTTGAATTTTTCCTCTTGAGAATTACCTATTAGTCTTCCTTACCAATTTTAAATTGGGACCTTCATTCATTCTCTCTCTTGCTATTATACTTTGAAATAAGAGTATTCTGCTTTCGGCCAAGATGGAGTACGAGGGACCTAATTTACACTCCCATGAGAAACAGCTGAAAAACCAGAGATAACATACAAAACAGTGGTCCTCAGACATTGAACGTGGGGAAGCACAGATCAGTAATCCCTGAGAGAGGAGTGACAGATGAGGTGAGCCTTACAGGAGCCCCCACTTACTGCCTTGGCTGAATTTCCAGGCCGCAGCAAAGGGAGGGGTTCCCTCAGTGGAGCTTGGCGGTCTCCATGAGTTGAGAAGATGGAGTTGGGGTCTGGACAAGCCAAGGAGGCTGGAGTTCACAGGGCAAAGTACCAGAGAGGAGAGAGCTGCACAGAGAGACAGCTCTGGAGAGATCTGCAAAGGGTCCTGCTTGAGTCTTCAGCTGAGTACTGGTCCACACATGCTTGTGAGTAGACTCCCTGAGGCCAGGGAGAGAATGACCCAAATGGAGCAGAGGCAGCAATCCCTAGAGCTCACACAAGGGTAGGAATAGTGTTCCTACCAACCTGAGCAGAAAAACCTTGTAATTCAGAGGCATCAAATACTCAGGAGAGTATTGCCTCATTAGTGGAGCAGAATTAGACTAAAACACTAACAAAGCTTAAAAGCAAGCTTTAAAAGGATCCGACTTGCATCCAAGTAACTTAACTGCATTGCCTAAAAAAGCTCAAGAATAATAAAACTATCCAGCACCAAACTGTGTTAAATTCAAAATGTCTGACATTCAATTAAAAATTAATTGATGTGTGGGAAAAGATGCCCCATAGTGAGGAGAAAAATTAATCAGTAGAAATAAACCCAGAAATGACCCATGTGGTAGAATTTGTAGACAAAGATGTTGAAAGAGTTATTTTAACTATATTCCGTATGTTCAAGGAGGTGGAAGAAAGATTGAGCTTGTAAAGAACATGGAAGATATAGAAAAGACCCAATCAAACTCTGTACATGAAAATTACAATCTCTTCATGAAAAATATGTTGAATGAGATTAATAGCATATTAGAGACTGCAAATGGACAGTTTAGCAAACTTGAAGATGCACCAATAGAAAGTATTCTCGGGGCCGGCTCCGTGGCTTAGCGGTTAAGTGCGGGCGCTCTGATGCTGGCAGCCCGGGTTCGGATCCCGGGCACGCCCCAAGGCACCACTTCTCCGTCCAACCCGAGGCCGAGTCCCACGTACAGCAACTAGAAGAATGTGAACCTATGACATACAACTATCTACTGGGGCTTTGGGGGGAAAAAAATGAATAAATAAAATCTTTAAAAAAAAAAAAAAAAGTATTCTCAATGAAATGCAGAGAAAAAAAGACTGAATAAAAATGAGCAGACAGTTGGTGAGCTGGGACAACTTCAGATGGCATAATATGCTTGTATACAATTAGAGTCCCCAAAGGATTGGGAAAATCAGAAGGAATAGAAAAAATATTTGAAAAATAATGGCTGAAAGTGAGGAGGGAGGAGGGTGAAAGGGATGATTAGGCATGTGTGTGGTGATGGATTCTAATTAGTATTTGGGTGGTGAACATGATGTAATCTATGCGGAAATAGAAGTATAATGATGTACACCTGAAATTTATACAATATTGTAAACCAATGTCACCGCAATAAAAAGAAAAGAAAAAGAATGTCTGAAAATTTTCACAATTTGATAAAACTATAAACCCACAGATCCTAAAGTTCAATAAATTCCCAGCACAAGAAACACAAAGAAAAGTACACAAAGACACATCATTGCTTAAAATCAATGATAATGACCTAAAAGGAGCCAGAGAAAAGACACATGACCTAAAGAAGAAGTAGAAGACAGTGCAGCAGCATCTTGTAAAGATGTGCTTAAGTACTTAGAGCAAAAAACAAAAACAGCTGTCAGCCTAGACAGAATTCTCTATCCAGTGAAACTATCAAAATAAAGGCTTTTTCAGATATATGAAAGCTGAAAGAATTCATTGTCCTAGCACGTTAGCATTAGAAGAAATGTTAAAGGAACTCCTTTAGTCAAAAGGAAAATGGTTCCAGTTGGAAATTGGCATCTACACAAAGGAATGAAGAGCACTGAAAATGCTAAATATGTGGGCAAATATAACAGACTTTTTTTTCTTATTATTAATAGCCATAAAAGATAATCGTTCAAAGCAGGAGTAACAACAATGTATTTGGTTTATAACTTATGTAAGTAAAGTGTACAACAAAAATAACATGCCAGAGAGGCTGAGAGGGCTTCTTGGGCTCTACACAGAGTGGGGTCAAAGATGTACACTGTAAACTCTAACCCACTAGAACACGACAACAGAAATGTGGGAGGCAGCTAACACAGTGCTTAGAGGGAAATGTTTTAAAATTAAAGCTTGTATTTCAAAGTGAAATATCTCAAATTAATGATCTCAACTTCTTACTTTAAGAAACTAGAAAAAGAAAAGCAAATTAAAGCCAAAGTAAGCAGAAGAAAGGAAGGAATAAAGATAAATGCAGAAATCGTGAAATAGAAAACAATAGAGAAAAATCATTGAAATCAAAAGATTATGCTTTAAAAAAACAATATTAGTAAACTTCTTATCAGACTATTCAGGAGAAAAGGAGAGAATTTCAAAATTACCAATATAAGGAATGAGAGAAGTGACATAACTACATATTCTAATGGATATTAAAAGGATAATAAAGGAATATTATGAACAGCTTTATACCAGTAAATTCAACAACTATTTAAATAAACTAGAACCATTCCCTGAAAGACATAAACTATCAAATCGCACACAAGAAGAGATTGCCTCATCAGCCCCATATCCACTAAAGAACTTTATGTTGTAGTTAAAACTTGCCCACAAAGAAAACTGCATGTCCAGATGATTTTACTAATGAATTCTGCCAAACATTTAAGGAAGATATAATACTGATTCTACATACACTCTTCCAAACAAATTGAGAAGGTGGGAATACTTCCCAATTCATTAATGTCAGCATTAACTTGATACCATAACCAGACAGACACAAGAAAACTACAGTCCAGTGTCCTCTTTAACATAAAAATATATAAGAAGATAATACATCATGACCAAGTGAGACTACCCAGAGATGCAAAGTTGGTTCAATATTTGAAAACCAATCTGTGTAATTCATGTTAACAGACTAAGAAAAACCATATCGTCATTTCAGTAGATGCAGAAAAAGCATTTGACAAAATCCAGCACTCATTTCTGATAAAAACTGGGCAAACTCGTGATAAAAGAGAATTTCTGACATTTTATCTATGAGAAACCAACAACTACCATCATACTGGCAATTATGTGGGAACGAAAAGATTTGACGTCTGGGTTTATATTGCTATTTTACCTTGAAGTTCCCTTGAATATTGTAATGTTAGATTGTGTTTATTAATGGATTGCCTTATTTACTTTATAGGAGTTAGGACATGGCATTTTAAATAAAACAAAAAAGTAACTTATTAGTGGATCATTATGGCTACTTTCACTGAAAGTTTTATTTTTATTTTGGTGGTTTGCAGTTAGTAAGTGTGGTTTTATTAAAGATGTTTGGTAAATATTATAAAATATATTTTTATATTTGATGTCTTTTTGACTTTTTTTCTCTTAATCTTTTATTGATTTCCCATCTTTATGCTTATTACAATTCTGCCTACAAAAATGAATCCTTATTTTCTTTTGGGGACATTATTTATATGTTCACTAGGTTTAAGGATGTCTGATTTCTACTGTTTTTATTCTTTCTTTAGGAAAACATAGAACCTCTTCCTGTATCGTTTGCAGTTCTGAGTCCTCTTAAGTCTTCAATCTCTGAGACTCTTTCAGGTAGTAACTTTGGTTTATCTCATAATCATAAATGTCATTTTCAATATATGTATATATGGAACTTAATGTCCTTAATTTCCTTTTGAAATTTTATTTTTATGATAACAATGCATACTTGGTTTAAAAAAACCAAATAGTGTAGAAGAGCTTATAAAAAGTGTCTTTATCCATTCCTTTCCATTCCAAGTCCTACACTTAATATCACCCATATGTATCATCACCCACATGTAACTTCTTTAGATGGGGAGCCCCATTTTGCAAGTTACTGCAAGCAGTGACGTTGCCCTCTCAACTCTTCAGTATCAACAGTAAGCTCCTTTACAGTTTGTGCAGTTGAAATGATACGGATCATAAGGGTCATTCTTAAATATCCAAAATTGTTCATTAACATTAACGTGGCATCTTGGGCACTTATACTTTCCAAGGTCTCTGGCTTTTTTTTTTTTTTTTTTATTGATGTTTTAATGGTTTCTAACATTGTGAAATTTTGGGTTGTACATTTTTGTTTGTCCATCACCACATATATCTCTGGCTTTTTTTGATCATGACAAGGCAACAAAGATCTCTCTGTGATTTCCTGACAAACCAGGACTTGGCTGGTAAATGTCATGAGAAAAGCACTTAGGATGGGAACCATTATGCATGTCTCTCACCTGACTGAAATCCTTTAATAGCTTCTCTTTGGCTGTAGGACACAAACCAAGCTCATTAGCACTGAATTCAAGAAATGTAGCATTAAGTTAGAGGTAAAATTTGAAGCGTAATCTATCTCATTCCAGAGGCTTTGCTCTTTAACACTTTGTTCTGCCTTTCATTTATACCATTAAAAGTGATCAAATTAAAATTTTCCTGAAATGTGTAAAATTAAATAAAATATTTTCATGATTGTCTTAATGGCCTTTATTACAATTTCATTGTATAAAATGTAGCTTGGAATAAATCGATATCAGAGAAATATGAGTATTTATTGTAATGTGATTTAATCTGTCATCTTAGGAGGGTAATATGTTTTGCAATCAATTAGCAGACATTTGGTCTTGTCCAAAATGTCCATAAGACATTCGGTTCATGCCAAAAGGTCCTTGAAATGTGATCCTGTCCAAAATGTCCATCAGCATATTTGGTCCATGCCAAATGGTTTTGGATCAAAACCATTAATTACCTCTTGGTAGTTAATTATTTATGTTTAGATATGAAATGATACTAACAGCAAAGGTGGATATCCAAAAGAATATCCAGAGTGTCTGAAAGATGGTGCATCTTAACAACTTTTTATTTTGCTTGTGTCTTGATCATCAGGCACTGATAGCTTTAGCTCTTCAAAGAACCACGAGAAAATATCCTCCCATGGAGTTGGTAGAATAACACGGACCTCTAACAGAAGAAGCGTAAGTGTTTGTATTTGGCACTATGTATTTGTTTTTAAATCTTGCAGTAGTTTTTTCTGTTTTCATGATCAAGTGATTATGGGTAAAATCTTGGTTTGATCAATGTCATTAAGAGTTAATACCTTATCCTACCTGGCATGTAACCCAGGGTAATGATGTTTTTTCCCAGTTTGATTTTAATTAATTCTGTTAGAAGAAAAATCCAATAAAACAAGATACTTTCAGAGTTTGTGTTAATGTGGAAGGTAATCAGTTTGAAAAGTTGGTTTGAGCTCTATGTGGTTTTATGAATTTTATTGAGGTGCAAAGTGGAGAAGAGTGGCATATATTTAGCAGAGCTAGAAAATGGCGTAAATATAACCTTTTTTAAAACTATATTTTCTTTTTGTTTTTTAACACGAGGTTTCAACTGTTTTCGGTATAAACATAATTCCCATTGAATGCATGTCTTGCTCTTTTACTAGATTTGATAAAACTGGATTTTTGTCTATAGCATCATAGCGTGTAGACCTATAGTATACTGTTATAGGGGTTTTAGCTGATATAGTTGGATGATAAACCCAGAATTCAAACTTAGATAATCTAACAGTTCATGATGTTTTTTGCTCATAACCCAACAGGAGTTAGGGGCTAAATTGTAGATGCTCAATAAATGTGATGAATGAATAAATCAACTAATTCTTAATTTTTTTTTTTTCTTTCTTAAAATAATGGGGCAGAGTGCATATGCTTCTGGGTCTATGTTTGATAGATCGGAAGTTAGTAATTACTGTTTCCCCCATTTGAGTTTAAGTTGGTTAAAATACTTCTAATGGAATTTGCAAATTAAGAGGAAATGTGATATAAAAAGGTAGAAGCAGCATGGGAAGGAAAGTAAATGTGAGAGACATACATTAAAATGTAACTGCTGTGTTTTATGGATCCCTACTTTAAATTTCTTTATAGCAATTGCTTAGTTTTGCAGAAGAGAGTGTTTGCAGCTTATTTAATACAGAAGCTCAGCCCTGTAAAGAAAAGAAAATTAATAGGAGGAAGTCTCAGGGAAGCAAGCGCACAGACAGAGGACTTCCTAAAAAGAATCAAGTAAGTGTGTGTTTAAAGATACAATGAAGAGTAGAAGTGGTGCATTTCTTTGTTGTATGGTTAGAAAAACATGGAAACAAATTTTTTTCTGCTTAGCATTGGACCAAGAGTATTAAAGTCATCTTATCATAGAATAGATAGGGCCATAAGAGATTATATGCTCAACTATTAATTACTCAAGGGCCATTTTTGCATCTTCATCATTGTGTTATGTACATCCAGCACAGTAAATTGTCCGCACTCAAATGTTAAATTGATTCTTATCTTTGAATCTATCTAACCTCACCCTATTTGGAAAATCCTCTAATTTCTTAGACATGGATGAGTGCATCATCTGCCACTTGTTTGACTTTGCTTCTGCCAGTGGCTGGATCACTCCCCCATTTTTAAGGAAGAATTTAGAAACTAGCTCTCAGTCTTCCTAACACTTCAAGGCCTATGCTGGCTCAGATGGCTTCACCATCTGTTTATGGATAGCCCATCTTGCACCTTAACCCAGTTCCTGGTCCCCCACCACTTCAATGATCTGGACCTTCCTCTGCCATACGCTACAGCTTGTTAGCACCTAAAACCTTCCCACTTTTAATAACGTACGGTTATATGTCGACTCTCTGACCCCAGCCTCCTGTCCGTCAGCATGCTCACTCCCTTACTCAGGTACCTCTTCTAGTTCTAGTAATCTTGTGGCCCCTCTCATTGCTCGAAACCTTTCAGATATCCCTTAATTTCCTGTTTCCTTGTTCATCCTAAACCGTGTGAGCTGTTTTCAGCAGCTCTTGTCAGTAATCTCACTTCTTCATCCCTTTCATTCCACTTCATCTCTGGATCAGTCTAACCATTATCCCGTGTCCCATCTAACATTGCTGCTGGAGAGACTCACACAGGGTCTACTATAAATTCATGGTTTCAGATGTTATCTGAAATCTGGTCCCTTTCTCCACCACTTCACCACTTCACTTTATTTCTCCAAGGTATTTGGAAACTTAGTGACTGAAACCCAGCACACCCTTGGAGGTCTTGTTCTTACTCACCATCTCAGCAGCATAACTGAGAACACTCCTTTACAGTCTCTGTTAAAGGTTTATTTTCTTCCACCTTTCTTAGATGTTTGTATTACCTAGAGTTCTACTCTTTGCCCTTTGTGGATTATTTTCTGGATGAATTTATATGCATCATGATTGTTGACTCCCAAATCTTCCTGATCTATAAACGTGTGTTCACCTGCCTGTTAGACATCTTTTCTTAAAACCATCCTACATGAACCTCAAAAATCAACATTTTCAAAACTAAACACATCCATTTCACCCTAACACACAGACACCCAAAACAGTCAGTAAACTTCCCTCCTACTCCATGAAACAAAAACCATTGCCTCTCTTGGTTTAAAAATGGCACAAATATCCCCAAGTCAGCAAAGCCAGAGGAAACTGGAAGTTTTCCTGGTTCAGTCCCATTTTTAGGCCACTCACTCCTTTGAAAGGTCCCCTTACTGAAAAAAATACACCTAAATTTAAAAACACACATACAATTTATATTATCACGTTAGAAATTGGTTTTATTCGTGTATACTCTTTACAGAACTCTGTTACAAAGAATGTACACCTATTTCTTTATATAAAATCAATAGCCAGAAAGTTCAAGAAGGGTTGAGTGTTAAGTTTTGCTCCAACGCCTCCCAGGACCCCACTGAATCAAAATAATTGATGTACTAGAAGGAATAGGCTTAGAATAGCAGTGAGAAAAGGAAGGAAGTGAGGAGGGTTATTAAGCAACAGATGACAGCCTTCAATGAATTTCTGGAAGACAAAGCAGATGGGAGCCTGTTGACAGATAAAAGAAGTGGAAAGATTTACAGCCCAGAATGTGCTAGGAGGGAGCTAGAGAGGCGCTGGGAGCCAGGCTGCTTATGGGAGTCTCAAGAGACTCTGGCCCAGTATTGGCAGGGACAATGGATGATGAGAGTGACAAGTGGTAGTGAAAAGCAGAGAGATTTAAGTCCTATATGTGAAACAGTTTGCACCCGTTGGCACCCTACCCCCACCCCCCACCCTGAAGCTCAGAGCAGATGTTGTCATCTAGGTTAAAGCCCTCATTCTGGCATTGCGAAAGTACCCCAGTCTTGACAGCCAGCTCTTGCCCTAAAGCAAAGCCTGCAGTCAACACTCCCCATTCTGCCCTGCCCCGCCCTGCCCGGCACAGAGTTCCTAGTAGAATTTCCATGCAGGAAAGAGACTGAGCTGGAAAGCAGAAGAAACCCATACCAGTTTATCCAATCTTTTCTTAAATAAGAATCAGACAACTGAGTAGAACCAGGAGCATAAAAGACTAATACTAATAAGTTGAAAAAGAGAAAGGTTATTCAGGGAATGAGAGGAAACTTTATAAAAAAATAAATACTCTGATATACTCAGATTTAAGAAAATATTGTCTGCGTAAAATGAAAGATGCTCTGAAAAAGGAGCAGAGGAAAAATATTTGCAAAAATATAAAATTTAGTAGTGGGACTAGCAAATAAAATTAAGGAAAGTCTCCCAGATGGTAGAGCGAAGGAGAGACAGACCAGTAATAAGAGACATGGAAGACCAATCTAGGAGATTTCATAGGAATCTCAGAACAGGAAAGTAGAGTGGAAGAAATTATCAAAATAAGAGGATTTCCCAGACCTGAAGAAAGGAGTCTTTAAGTTACAAGGGCCTACTGAATGCCTAGTGCAGTGGGAAAAGGCTGGGAGCTGGACCTGTCAGTATAACGTTGAACAATAAGGATAACAAGAAAAGTGGACTTTCCCTTCCAGGAAACAGTTAGAGTGGTGTCAAGTTTAACGGCAGTCTGAATGCTGAAAGATAATTCAACAGGACAGTTAAAGCTTTGAAAGAAACTTAAATTTCAGCCCACTATTCTATACCCAGCCAAGTTCAATTAAATGTGAAAGAAAAAATAAGAACATCAGACACTCAAGGACTCTGAAAGTTTTTCTTTGGATATTACTGGAGGAGATACTCCAGCAAAATGAAGAAGCAAGCTTGAGAATTCGGGACCCAGTGGATCTAATGATACAAGAGAGCAGTGCAAGGGAAGTCTCTGATTGTAGCTGTTCAGCCAGCCCTGGAGAGCAGCCAGTCCAAATTTGAGCAAGAGGGAAGGGTGCTCCAGGGAGCAGGTCTCTGGAGGGAAAAGCAAAAAGACCTGTGACTGAGGAAATGGAAGGTGTGCCACTTAAGAAGAAAAAGAAAGATAATTATATACCATTTCAATAAAAGTCTGTATACAAAATTTTGGAGCAGATATGAAGCAAACTTCAGTGTGACTTCAAGCAATAGTGGAGTGTAAGGAAAAGTATATTTTATAGTGCTAAGAATCATCTACAGGGGGCACCTGAGGAAAGGAAAGGAATGTGAGCTCTGTCCTTGGCAGAGCAGGGAAAAATGTTTCCACAGTCATAGTAAGGTAAATGCTGTGTGTTTTCAAACAAGGGCAAAGCTAGAACAACTTGATTGTTGTGCAAGACAATCTAAATGTAGCTAACAGCAGAAGGTGAAATGTGATAGAAAAGATGGAGGTGAGGGTATTGACACTAACAGTATAGTGGTGAAGAGTGTAGCTCGAGAACCAGGCAACCTGGGTTCTAGATCCTGGCTTGACTACTTCAAGCAGTGGAATGGGGGGGGGCAGATTCTTGACTCCTCTGTTGGTTTTAAAATGGAGGTAGTAATGGTACTTATTTTATAAGCTTATTGTGAATATTAAATGCTTAAAACAGTGCCTGGACATAGTAAGCACAATGGCTGTTATCATAACTATCATCTTACAAATTAGGAGTTCAAGATATATTTTAAAAGTTGGTGAAAGTTCTGGCCTGGTGGCGTAGTGGTTAAGTTCATAGGCTCCACTTCAGTGGCCCGGGGTTCTCAGGTTTGGATCCCGGGCACGGACTACGCCCCACTCATCAAGCCATGCTGTGGAGGCGTCCCATATACAAAATAGAGGAACATGGGCGCAGATGTTAGCTGAGGGCCTATCTTCCTCAGTAGAAAGAAGAGGATTGGCAACGGATGTTAGCTTGTGGCCAAGCTTCCTCGCAAAAAAAAAAAAAAAAAGTTGTTGAAAAGAAATAGAAATGTAAATTCAATGGTAACCAATAGGAGAACCAAAACTAACATCGGGAGGAGGAAGGTTTAGTTTAAGTGAGCAATAGCCTCATCTTTCATGGCAGGAGTCAGTAGAGGTCTATACCATATTAGATACTTAAAACTTGGTGAGAGAGTAGATCTTAAGTTTTCTCACACACACAGAATGGTAACTGATAACTATGTGAGGTGATGGATGTGTTTATTAACTTGATTGTGATAATCATTGCACAATGTATATGTATATTAAATTGTGTTGTACACCGTTAAAAAAATCACATTGTACAACCTAATTTTATACAATTTTTATTTGTCAATCATACCTCATTAAAGCTGGAAAAATGTGAACATAAATAAAATTGCTAACTTGGATGTAGCATTAGAATTCATAAGTAAATTCCTTTATATTCTGGAAATGGAGAAATTTTCCAAAATGTGACTTAAAAGACAGAAACAGCGGGGCCGGCCCGGTGGCGCAAGCGGTTAAGTGCGCGCGCTCCGCTGCGGCGGCCCGGGGTTCGCTGGTTCGGATCCCGGGCGCGCACCGACACACTGCTTGGCAAGCCATGCTGTGGCAGCGTCCCATATAAAGTGGAGGAAGATGGGCACAGATGTTAGCCCAGGGCCGTCTTCCTCAGCAAAAAAAAAAAGAGGAGGATTGGCGGATGTTAGCACAGGGCTGATCTCACCAAAAAAAAAAAAGCAAAAAACAAAAAAAAACCAGAAACAGTAAGGTCAAAGATTGGTAAATTTTACTCCATTTGACCCACACAACATGGCATGCATGGGGGAAAAAACTCCATAGAAAATTTTAAAAAACGAAGGACAAACTTAGAAAACTATTTGCAATTCATATCAAACACAAAGGATTAA